GAAGCCTATCAACGGAAGCGTGGCAATCCTCCGACTGAGGCTATAACAAGCTAAAGCTCTGACACCGTTACAGGTATATGCGCCTTATTTGAAGGGAGAATATGAGTCCTTCGTTGAGGAAGTAGAGCGTGCTCTGTATTAAATACCGATACGGAGTCCTTCATACGCACGGGCGATTCTAATGCGCATGTCCTGTAGACGCTGAAAAGTGGAAAGGAGTGATTGTAAAGAACAACTCTAGCGACCTCAACAATAGCGACATTAAGTTGTTGCGGTTTTCTGGAAACAACGAACTGTCCATTATGAACTCCTCCTTCGAGCATCGAAGGGTGCATCAGTACACTTGGTACCGGGAAGCTTGTGCACAGAAGTCGATGATCGATTTGATAACCGTATCGTTTGACTTAAAACGCTCGGCAATGGATGTTCGCGCTAAGAGAGGTGCAGCCGATTAACCGCAACCGATATCAACCGATCGCTACTCTGATTTTGGCACGATACGCTGTGACAAATGGAGTACCATGCGACGATCTGATGACAAAAACAACCAGAGAATCAAATGGGAAACAATGTCTTCCGCAGATACCAGGGCGAATCTTACAAACATCACACGACAGTCTGAACAGATCTGACGATAACCAGTGATATGGAAAGCGAGTGGGAGCTCTTTAAGACCGGCGCATCTTGAGGCCGCAACCGAATGCTGCGGATTCAAACGGGTTGGCCTGTCGCCTGGATGTTAGAAACGAACTTCCTGGTGGATACGAGAGGTTCAACTAGCTGTCACTCAGAAGAGGGCTGCATTCAAGAGATGGCTAGAATGCAAAGAGACTTCAACTCGCATTCGGCACGTAAAAGCGCGCAAGGCATCATGGAAAAGTTGATTCCCGGTAGAAGTCCGGCGAGGAGATGAAGTCCAATTTCTAGACGGCAAACAAGGTATTCTGGTGATCATTCGCCATCTCCGAGGTGAAAAGAAGGGCAGTCTCAGAGTACTGAAGGACAGGTCTGGGCACCCTTTTACCGAGGATGAAGACATTCTTCGGCGATTCAGAAAGAAATCGGATGAATTCCTTAACCCCGAATAACCGCAGAAAGACTCGCCTCTTGTGCAGCAGGGAACAGATATTGCTATTTCTGCAGATGAAATCACACAAGATGTGAAGAACTTGAAATGAAAGGCTGCTGGAATTGATGAAATCCGCTATGAAATGCTCAAAGCGTTAGACCAACAAGACATGTGTTGACTTAGACGTGTCTGTCAAACTGCAGTCGCTAGGGGAAGAAACCAGCAGACTGAAGAACCGGGGTGGCTGTACCCCTGTTCAAGAAGGGAGACCAAAGGGACTGTTCCAATCATCGGGCATTACGTTATTGAGCCTCCCGGGTAAAGTCTACGCAAAGTACTAGAAAGGAGGTGTCCCGGAATAAGTGATTCCAAGATACACGAAGTGGAGTGTGGCTTCCGGCCAGGTCGAAGCACGTCTGACCAGATATTTGCCCTATACCAGGTGGTTAAGAAATCGTGGGAGTTCGCCCATACGGTGTACATATGCTTTGATGATATAGAGAAAGCCTACGACCTGATATCGTGCAACAGTCTGCATGCCTGTGAACATATGGGATCGATGGCCAGATACTACGAGCCATCCAATTACTGTATGGTGATAGCATGTGCTGACCCAGAGTAAATGACGTTAAGTCGAAAGCTTAGAGCGTTGGCACTGGTCTATGCCAAGGCTACGTTGTGTCCCCCTCCTGTGTGTGTTGTACATGGACAGAGTAGTTAGACGCAGCCAGGGCGATAAGTATCGATGTAGGAGGTGCCAAGAGGAGAAGGTTGCTGCTTGCAGACGACCTTGTTCCGTTGCCATTTTGTAAAACTGATCAACAACCCTCTCTTGGAAGGTTCAAATGGGCGACATGAGTGTGAACGTTTCTAAAACGGAAAACCTAGTGCTTTCTAGTTCTCATGCCCGTTGGTATCTTCAGATAAACGTAAAACGAGTGGAGCAGGCGGAAAAATTCAAGTACCTCACGGTCGTGTTTACTGGTGATGGAAAATCTGAGGTATGGATTGACCGGCGGACTGGAGTAGCCAG